GACTCAGCATAACTTGGTTACAGTTTTCTAGACCCTTATTCGAACATTGCTGTTCTTGGGTATTAAATCTGTTTTTTTTTTTCAAGAGAATTAAATCATTTATTGATTACACATGATAATGAATGATATACAAGCTTCATTCCCATCTATTATTTATCTGGTACCATTATTCAATTTAGATATTGCATAGGATATGCCAACAATTATTTTTATACCAAATAATTCCATGACTGCTTGGGTGACCCCTTCAATGGTGAACTTCAGAAGGTCACAACTATACCAAGGTTTCTGAAATCTGGTTTTTAATGAATTACTTTTGGCAATTTCTTAGCTTTTAGGGAGGGATTTGGGATAGACCACTGTAATAAAAATTATCTATTTCTTAAGCTCTCATTGCAGCAAAATTATGGTGCATGACTCAATTTATTTTTTCTTGTGGGAAAGAGACTTAAATACAGACATGGTCTCTGATGCATTTATGAACTAAGTTGAATGATCTCAGCCATGTATTACAGGTGTGTTTGTATTGCTCTTTAAAACAGCCTTCAAATTCCTAAGTGTTCTATTGGGGTCAAATTTGGGGACTTTCTTGAATGCTTAAATAATAGTTCTTTGGCTTGTGAAATTCTGAATATTTTCACCAGCAAAAGGAGCAAGACACTTTTCCATGACGTGCTTTGTTATTTAAACCTGTTCCTTACATACTACGATGCCTGTGAGAACATAGTGTAATAACTGTGATGACAATTTTATATGCTACTTCTCAACTCAGAAAGTCTGTTTAATTGTATGTATCTAGTATACTTCAGTCACTAGCACTATTTGAGAGTGGGTGAAAAGAGTGGTCTAAAAACTAAGGAACAATTTTTTAAAAATTGTGGTAAAATACACATACCACAAAATGTACCATTTTAATGATTTTTGTATATGAATTCAGTGATGTTAAATACATTCATGATTTTGTACAATTGTGACAACGGTTACCATTACTTTTCATTTCTAGAACTTTTTAAAAATCCATACCCAATAAAAACTTCATGCCCATGGAATAATAACACCCCACTTCCTTCTCCCCTTAGTCCCTGATAACCTATTTTCTATCTTCATGAATTTGACTGTTCTAAGTACCTTATATAAGTAGAATCACACATTTTTTGTCCTTTTGTGTTGGCTCTCTCTTAACATAATGTTTTCAACACATTTTCATCTCTATTGTAGTAGGTATCAAAATTTCATTCCTTTTATCCTGTTGTATGTAGATACCACATTTTGTGTATTCATTCATCTATTGATAGACACTGGGTTGTTTTCATTTTCTGACTATTGTGAATAAAGTTGAAATGAACATAGTTTACAAGGATGTGAGCCTGTGCTTTCAACTAATTTTGGTATATGCGTAGGAAATGCCATTACTGGATAACTTTTTAATTTTTTGAGGAACTCTCAAACTGCTTTCTACAGAGGCTACCTCATTTTACATTTTCCCAACAATAATGTGCAAAGGTACTTCTTTTTCCACATCCTTACCAAGACTTATTATTTTCTAATATGTGTTGCAGGACCTCACCCATGCTAAGCAAACACTCTACCACTGAACTACACCCCAATCCCCCCATGCCTTTTAATATTAGCAACATCTCTTTGTGACTTTAATTTTCATTTCCTTAATGACTGCTTATAATTCTTTCTAGAGAATTATTGTGTTTAACACATGATACAGTACATGCAGAAATACTGGCATTATATTACATAGTTTTAATTGCTTACCTGAAGTTTGAAAAATTATTATTATTATTTTTTGTTTGTTTGTTTCTTTGGAGGTGGGGTTCTGTTAGAAGTCTGGGAAGTCAGATATGTTTCTTGGTAATAGTTGGAGACAATCAACTTAAATTAGACAGTGTCATTGTTTGATCAATTGGCATGCCCACAAATAATTGGATATATTATTTTTTGTTACTATGACTTGATTATTAATTACAGAAGCTTCTCAAAAGTCATATACAATCTTAAGTGGAAAGCATTAACAGATAGTTTGTACTCTAAGGTTCTTTGAATCTCTCACTTTGAAATTCTCCTTGTGTTAGCTTGCTGTTACTATGACAAAATACCTGACATAGTCAACTTATAAGGAGGAAATATTTATTTTTTGTTCATGGTTTCAGAAATTTCAGTTTATAGTTGTGTGATCCTGTTACTTTGGACATGTGGCGAGGCAGCATGTCATGGTAGGGAGCTCATGGTGAAACAAAGCTGCTCATCTCATAGTGGTTTGAAGCAAAAAGAGAGGAAGGGGCTGGGGTCCCAATATTCCCTTCAAAGCATGCCTGCTGTGGCCTAACTTCTTACAACTAGAACCTATCTTCTGAAGTTGTCATTACCTTTCAGGAGAACCAGAATTTAGCCTCTGAGCCTTTGGGGACATTTAAGATACAAACCATATGACTCCTTTGCTAGTTCAACAATGGACTATTGCACTGCAATCCTTACCTTGCCCTACTCAAATTTCCACTTGAAAACTCCTCTTTAACCCAAACTTTTAATTCTACTAAATTCTGTCATTGCTTCAAACTGGCTCCCCTTCCTGGTATTGCCAAAGCTCTATAGAAGTGGTTGCCCTCCTTAACATAATGAGCAATAAATTCAGTTTTATCTTGTCAACAGGTTTGCTGATTTCATTGAGAGAGGTAGCATCCTAGAGGGAGGATGAGATGATGAACCAGTTAATCCCAGACAAAAATTACAAAATTATATTTTTTGCCTGTTATCATGATTACATTCTCATTCTTCCTACAGTTCTATATATTTCCACCACTTAACCAATAGCTTTAGCTCCATACTTGATTACTTTTGTAACTACCTTCACGGGCAAAAAGGTTATTGTGCATGATAACTCCGTCTGTTTAACAGATGTATATGCTACTATCATTTCTCTTGCTGTTTTGCAGGCATATATAACCTGGCAGGGTTTCTTGGTCCCAGTACTGGTGGGAACATTGATCCAATTAAGGGGATGGCAACAGGAAACTTGGTTTCATCCTCAAGCCCAGGCAGTGCTCACTGATCTGGCTTTGATAGCAATAAAGTTGACATTTGGATTCCTGCTTAAGTCCTGTGTCTTTTACTTAATTATTTCAGAATCCATAGAGGAAAGGTATGCGCTTGATAGTTTTGTTGTTTGTTCTTATAGCAACAGATCCAGACTGCTTATAATAGTTATCTCCTCTGATTTAGCCTACATGGCATCATTGAATGAATGACACAGAGAAGCTGTAAGTGTCAAAACACATATAGATGCTATTTATTTCCAGCTGAAATGGTTAAGAAAACCTTCATGGAAGAAGTGAATGAATTGACTTGAAGGAATAATTTGTTTACACTGGCAGAAGCATAAGGAGGATTCAGAAGTAAGTTCACTGGCAGTTCAGAAGGACCCTCTTGGAGCAATAGTGAGTTTCTGTAGAAGCCCAGGAATCTTCAGCCTGAAGGAGTAGTCCAGTCTAAATGCTGTAGAAGGTTTTTATTTGGGAGTGATGGGGAGTTAAGATAGGAAAAGTGGGTGCAGACTAGATTGTGTTAACTTTTAATAATGCAAGGCACAATTTTGAAAGCATAACATATCGATTAATCAAATTGGAAATGATTTCACAGGCCTGCGATGAGGTGACAATCACTGGATAATTATTTCTAGAATCATAGATTGTGTTTTTGTTTGTATTCTTTGGTTGCCTGCTCACAGTAGGGGACACACACACACACACACACACACACACACACTTCCCATTAGACTTTCAGAAGCACTGAGAGCTTTTCATCTGACACTTATTCAATGGCTTTCACACCCAGTAAAACTGAGTTGCTGTGGTCTCCAACAGATCTTTGGAAGATGTGAAAAATAATATAGTAATTACCCTGAAAAACCAAACACTGCTGCTATAAAATTCAGCATCTCATTGAGTATCTGAGTCATGGTCACACCAATAGAATGAATCAAAAGGCTAAGATTATAAAACACTGTTAAGAAATTAATATTTCAACATTTCACAAATTAACCACAGAGTCTTTGTTTTCTTAGCATGCCATCAACTTGCTTATTTTCTATAAACCTTATATAACATTATCTTTGCTTAAAGAATTGAAGTAACTCCCTGAGGAAAAAAAATGACTAGGAGCCTGTTAACTCCTGTTAAAAGATAATTTTCATAAAAATATAAAATCTGACTGTACTCTAGATAGAAAAATTAACTCATGGTCATATGCAAGATCATGGGTTTCATGCTATAGCCCCCCACAAAAAATGAATTCAATTTGAAGATTTTATTTTACTCATTTATGACAGAACAAGGGAGATCTTGAATCTAATTCAAGTAAAAAGTAAACAAACAAAAATATCCTTACAAATTTATGTGGAGTAAAGGAGTTTGATTCAAGTTTATATGAATCAAAGGGCATGAAGGTAAACTGGTTTTCCTACCAAAAAAAATGTAAATCAATAGAAAGTCTACATAAAGAGATGGAATTTGCATATCATTAACTCACAGAATTTTAAATGGCTCAAAGCAACAAAAGGCTAGCATCTGAAACACAAATTATTTTTCTATATGTTAACTCCTTGAGGGTCAGTTTTGTAAACTACCGGGAAGAATGGTATCTCTGAGGAGTGGAGATGCTCGGAGGAGTTTTTGGAATAAAATGATTGTGCAGGTAGAAAGAAACAGGGCCATTGGGAAAGAGCAACAAATCTATGAGGTGGGAGGCTCTAGCCCCGTCTCCTGGAGCAAGCTTGTGTCCTGAGAAGTAGGTTTAGCAGTGGTGGATATTTTCCATTTGCCTCTCTAGAGGCTCACCCTCCTCTTCTTCACTCTGGGTCACCTAAGTGGGCTCCCTTGCCTTCTTTTTTTTTGGTTGGGGGGAAGACAGTGGTTTCCCAATGAGATTTACTAACAGGATACTGGAGGGCAAAATTTGGTACCCACCCTCTCTTCTTATGGATTTTGTTGTAGGTTGGCTGTCTCCTTGAACTGAAGATCACAGCTGTTGTCAAGATCTTTCAGAGTCTCCTCTCTGGCTTCCTGTATCTTCTCCCTTCCCCAGACCTTCAGGCTGAGCGTTGGTAACACCTTCCCACCATTGCTAGCTCTAGCAAATTGAACACCTCCTGGCATTTCCCTGCACCATGCCTGTACTTCTAAAACCTCCCTTTTAAAAATGGCTATGTTTCAACATTTTTATCCATTGGACTTTGACAAATAGATTGAGTAAATTTAAAGCTGTCAAACTGGAAGCACCGGCCCCACTGGGCGGGGAGAACCACCTACAATCACATGACCCATCGTAGTACTGACTAGGATGGAGGTGGGAGGATGTTGGAGAAGGAACTGCCTTCCCTTGTATCCAGAGATCCACTGAGACCTGTCAAGGATCTCAACTAGAGACACTAGAAGGGCAGCTTTCTCTGGGTTACCCAGCTGTCATATTCAATAACATTTTACAGTTTCCAGATTTGTAGCTATTTCTAAACAACTTGCTTCTGATGGCACCACCTTTAAGATGGAACATCTGAGATATAGTACCTTCAAAAAGGTGGTTGAACAGTGCATTTAGCATTTTAGTTATGAGTAATCATCTAGAGAGTTTTTAGGACTTTTGTGGATATGAGGTGTGTCCTTGGAGTAGAGGCTAATTTTTGTAAATAGGAAAAAAGAGGGTGAGAGCTCTTTCAGTGATTTTTATGTTTTCTATAAAATTAACTTAAAATATTTCAGTTTAGGCTGTGATTGATATATATATATATATATATATATATATATATCATATATAGATATGATATGTATATCAATAAATTTTAATTTGTACTCTATGGAAGGTTAAATAGTATTTGAATATATCCTAACCAGAAATCCAAAGTTGATAGTATTTGAATCTTCACTATACAACTCATTATGTAGTATAAAGGACTGTTAGAAATAGTATTTCATTGGGGCTGGGGGTGTGGCTCAGTGGTAGAGTATTTGCTTAGCATGTGTGAAGAACTGGGTTCAATCCCTGGCACCACATAAAAATAAATAAAAGAATTGTGTCCACCTGTAATTAATATGTATATATTTTAAAAAAGAAATAGTTTTCATTGATTAAATAAATAGTTTTTAATATATGCAATTGTCTAAAATGATTTCCCAGGCAATTTCTCATTGCATGAAAAGGTCAAATCTGGTTAGCCAGGCTCTTGAATTCAGAACAATTCTCTTGATACAGCATTTAGCTGCCTCACATTGCATATGGAGGACTCCATAAGTTTAGAAGATTAGTTGAGCCGACTGTCATAATGTTACTGCATTTGCTTTAGAGTGAAACTCTCATTCAAAATACTTGTTATATTAAAAAAAATGGGACTTCACTGAGCTTGTAACAACCATATTTCAGTCAGGATGACTAGGTCATGCTGCACTAATAATCTATAAATATGCTTTGTAGCTTGAAACAACAAAGTTTGTTATTATTTTTTCATGCTATATGTTCACTGAGGATCCAGTTTGCTTTATCGTCACTGAGACCCTTTCTGGAACATTCATTGTCTTGGAAGAAAGAAAAAGGGACATTATTTGAAGGGTCTCTATTGGAAATACATTCTGTCCAGAAGACAGAATCAGAAATATTATTGTTGTTCCTGCTTGTTAAAACGTGTTTGTAAGTGTGGCAAAATTTACCCTCATATTTACTTTCACTGTAATCTGCCACCTGGCAGAGAGGATGTGGAAGAAGAAAAGAAAACCTACCTATCAAGTGGAAGCTAGTGGTATTTACCAACAAACGGTTGAACAATTGTTGAATGGACAAGGGGACTTAGGTCAGTTTACATTAGGTGGACTCCTAAAGGAAGACTTGGCTTCCAAGTGAGGAAGAGGGACATACTGGCTAATCTGTTTCATGAAGTTCATGTCACCTGTACCTTATATGCTTGGCAGTGATGATGGAACACTGGAGCATAAAGGTAACCTGAAGACAATCTAGTGGATTTCTGATAATATTCTAGAGTTCTTTCTCTTTCTCCCCTTTCTTCCTTCCTTCCTTACTGTTAGTATTGAGTAAACATTTCAGCATCTATATTCTGCAGAACTTCCTGGCACCAAAAATAAACAGTACAATTCTACTGTTGCCTTGCTTGACTATACAAGCAGGTGGGCTTTAACAAACAATCCCCTTGACTGTTAAGAATTCTATTTGGAAATTCTTTCCTTTAGTTCCCAAAGACATGGAGTATTCCGAGAAACATCTAAATGAGAGTTAATTTCCAGCAAACAATATCCTTGCATTTATAAGCAATTAACTGTAGCCTAGAGCTAAGCAGCTGATTTGGGGTGAACCTTTTTTTTTTTTTTTGCAAAACAGTATACAAAAAGCAATTATAGTGCTTTTTCTCTTATATCCAGTTAAGTGGTGGAGGAAATAGAATTGTTACTTAGTCATCATCACATTCTACTCAACTTCCTTCGTAATTTAATATGCACAAGACTCATCTAAACCTCAGATTACTCATTAATTCAGCAAATTTGTACCCTAGATAAATCATTCCGCTAGGTAAATCAACTAATTAAAAGAGTGAAGTTAAAATATACCACACGTACAGAGAAATTTTATCAGAAATGTTTTCTTTCTATAATGAGTTTTCTGAATGTGAAATAATCATCTTCAAAATTTACTACAGCTGGCCTTACCTTAGCATGCTAAACATAAGGTATTGTTAGAGTACAGCAATCTATAAGCAAAAATGAGTAGTGACCTAAGTGTTACTCTAAATTTTAAAGCAAAGTTGCTGAAGAATTGGTAATGCTATGATTTTTCTACATTGTATATTAACAACTCCTATTGAAACATTTTTCTTCTTGAATCTCAAAAATCAAAACTTTGCCTCTGTAAAAAATGACTTATCCAAAATGTTGCTGATATAAATGAAATATTTTCTTTTGTATTTTTACAAAGAAACAATTTTCTAGTCATGCCATAAAAAAACAGGCTATATACTTACATTTAAGATTAAATGGACACCATTAAGAGTCTATTCAATTTTCTTTGTTTTTGACCTTGAAATAAATAGAAACCCAGAGTGACAGAGGAGAATGGAAATGGGATGATCATGAGTGTGTAAGGAGAAGTGATTCTGGGTTGAAGGGAGTTGGGGCCAACCATAAAGTCCCATTAGCTTTATCAATAAGCAAACCATTCAGGTAAGCTTCTCAAAGGTAGGGACTCTTCTAAATTTGGCCACCTTTGTTTGGGGCTTCCCTCTAACACTTCCTTTGCTCTTTTATGGAGCTTCATGTTCCTTATATTTTATATATTTTGTCATTTCTCCCTTTAATAAAGTACATGTATCCTTCATTTCATTCCATTAATTTGGAAATTGACAATGATTCCAAAAGATTTTGGATAAGATGTTAGAAAGTTGATAGGTTACCCTGGATGGTGGCATAATGACTCAATTCAGTGAAAATGGTATAGGTCCTATGAAGGTCTCAATATGTCAGAGTCACCGATATTCACCTTTGCTGGACCATGGGTATGAAACTCTAGCACTATACCTGGCACATTGGGGGACATTCAATACTGTTAATTAAAAAAAATGTTTAAAAGTAAATATACTTAGTAGACTAGATCCTTACAATTCTGTTTAAATAATATAGAGATGGCTGTCTACATATTGAAAGAGTCATTTTGCTCTAGAGATAATATGCTATTAAATAATACTCATAATTAGAGTGTTAGAAGGGTATTGGGAAATTTCTCATTCACCAAGGGACTAGTAAAGAGTCCAAGTCTCTATCTCAAACCTATTGGATCAGACTCTTTGGGTAGAATGTCCTAAGAATTTACATTCCATTATGATTCTATGTACTCTATAGTTTAAGAACGTTCACTGCTCAGTGAATAGAAATTTGCACCAATGTTTACCTTTAGTAGTGGATACATGAAATGGGGTAGCTGAAATTTTTTTCAAACATCTTTTTTTTCAGAATCCATCTTTAATAATTATAGTTCAAATTCCTTTTGAAATAACTTTTTTTTTTTTTAGAGATTTACGCAAGAAGGAAGGTAAAAACAATAAAAAGGAGAATTAAAAGAGTGGTTTTATCTTTATTTCTGTGTCTCCTAAACACATGATTCATATAAAAAACAAGTGAAAAATTTGTCAAATACCTAATAAGACATATAGGTATTTACAAATATATTTCTGTTTAGGTCTTAGCCTTGCCATAAGCTGAAAGTGTAGACTAGAGTGATGCAGGTCACTATTCAAAGTGGGGGCTGAACTTTTTTTTTTTTTGGTACCAATCCCAGCCCTATTTTATATTTTATTTAGAGACAGGGTCTCACTGAGTTGCTTAGTGTTTCTTGCTTGCTGAGGCTGGCTTTGAACTCATGATCCTTCTGTCTCAGCCTCTGGAGCTGGGATTACAGGCCTGCTCCACTGTACCCCGCCGTGGGGGCTGAACTTGATCACTATTTTCAAACTATGGTCCCTTGAATGAGGTTCCTTCAGTGGCTGCCAAACATGCAAAAGTGAAAAAGCAAGTATACAGGACCCTTGGATCCCACGGTTATCTTTTTTTTTTTTTTTTCTTTGGGTTTATATTGTTTTGGATCTGCTCAGTATCTTCAATATTTTGGTTTAGCTCTTTCCAAATTTGAAATGTTCTTAGGCAGTATTTATTTATTTATTTTTTTTTAATTTTTTATTGTTGGCTGTTCAAAACATTACATAGTTCTTGATATATCATATTTCACAATTTGATTCAAGTGGGTTATGAGCTCCCATTTTTACCCCATATACAGATTGCAGAATCACATCAGTTACACATCCATTGATTTACATATTGCCATACTAGTGTCTGTTGTATTCTGCTGCCTTTCCTATCCTCTACTATCCCCCCTCCCCCCTCCCCTCCCTCCCCCCCCTCTCTCTCTCCCCTCTACTGACATCTTGTCCCCTTATATTTTTCCCCTTCCCCTCACTTCCTTGTATGTACTTTGTATAACCTGAGGGTCTCCTTCCATTTCCATGCAATTTCCCTTCTCTCTCCCTTTCCCTCCCACCTCTCATCCCTGTTTAATGTTAATCTTCTTCTCCTGCTCTTCGACCCTACTCTGTTCTTAGTTACTCTCCTTATATCAAAGAAGACATTTGGCATTTGTTTTTTAGGGATTGGCTAGCTTCACTTAGCATAATCTGCTCTAATGCCATCCATTTCCCTGTAAATTCTATGATTTTGTCATTTTTTAATGCAGAGTAATACTCCATTGTGTATAAATGCCACATTTTTTTTATCCATTCATCTATTGAAGGGCATCTAGGTTGGTTCCACAGTCTTGCTATTGTGAACTGTGCTGCTATGAACATCGATGTAGCAGTGTCCCTGTAGCATGCTCTTTTTAGGTCTTTAGGGAATAGACCAAGAAGGGGAATAGCTGGGTCAAATGGTGGCTCCATTCCCAGCTTTCCAAGAAATCTCCATACTGCTTTCCAAATTGGCTGCACCAATCTGCAGTCCCACCAGCAATGTACAAGTGTACCCTTTTCCCCACATCCTCGCCAGCACTTGTTGTTGTTTGACTTCCTAATGGCTGCCAATCTTACTGGAGTGAGATGGTATCTTAGGGTGGTTTTGATTTGCATTTCTCTGACAG